ATCTCGTGGTTATGATCGTAAGTCTGTCGTGTAAGTCTGAGCTGTCACTTACGCTGTGTCTGTCGTGTAAGTCTGAGCTGTCACTTACGCTGTGTCTGTCGTGTAAGTCTGAGCTGTCACTTACGCTGTGTCTATCGTGCCGAAATACAACCCCATACATATTAGTGCCCAGTGTTATTGCCATGCATATCTTGTATACGGCAGATATCTTGTATTTGTGTAAGTTGCTGCGTCGTCGATGTGTATATTTCTGCGTATTCCGTGTAAAGATGTATTTTTGTGTGGCAGTGTTGCCAACTTTATTATCATATTCTTGACGGTGGACGATGTAGATCATTCTCATGATTATCGTAAACATTTCCAATCTATTTAACATTAAAGTAACTTTGCCGTGGCAAAACTTTTAATGTAGGCAGCGTTAAAACTGCATAGCCAAGAAGAGACTCGCACATTCCTTGCCAAGACTGCCAGAAAATGCACGTCTGCGAAATTCTTTCATTTTGTAAACGAGGTGCTAGCTGTAACACTACTCAAGAGTGCCCTCAAATTGCCCACATTTGTCGTTTTAAATAATGGTTTCTTATAGAACTAATACAAACTGCCAGAAAACGTGAAAGTCACAAGCAGTTCAATTCTGCAATTTCTATATTTTGCCCAACCGTAAAGCTGTATTTGTAGAAAATCATGTCCAGTGAGATGGCCAATTCCAAGCTTTGTACTTATTTTTGCGATGTGATTCCACTTTCAGTCACCAACCGTTACCATATTTACCTCCCACGAGTATCTTGAAGTGAATAACTAATTAATGTATTTATCATCAATTATATCACGAGCGTATTTAAGAAGGCCTTCTTAATATGCTCTAGATTATATTATATCACCTATTCACTATATTGGGTAAATATTCAGATGCACAAACGATTTTTTTCAAGTACAACGGAGCATAAATATCCAGTTTTTAAAATATGAACTTGCGTTAACATTCCCTCTTTATGCAACTTTATATAGGACCGGTTACCGAGTATGCATAACATTACATGATATCATGTTTTATATCCTGAATATTTGAAGTTACTGAGAAATCATAATAGATCGCATTGTAATTTATATTTTATTACACGTTACTCTATATAACATATTTATAGGGATGTACATGTTATTACCACATATTTTATTACACGCACTTGGTGCTGGTTTACTAGTTTATACTGTTATGACAAGAAGTGCCTTTTAATAGTCGGTGCTTTTATGTACTTATTAAGTATTTCTGTGTACACTTACATTATAATAATAACATATCATGGAAAATGTGCTGCCATGAACGTGATACTCAAAAATAGATTAAAAACGCAATTTATTAGAAAGTGATGGTTAAATGTTGTTATAGTTTAATAATTAACGAATTTCAATCTTGTTAATCAGGTTTCTGAAATTAGATTTTAGATTTTAGGCCATTTTTTTTAGATTGTTTGGTAAGATGAATCAAAGGCTGACACACTGTAATATTTTGGCAGCTGTAGGTTTTGGTGCCAATAATTCGTTCTGGGAACAATTAACACGTAAAAACATGGTTTATGCACATTTCACAATAACCACGTGTATAACACTGTATTTGTACTTACACATGTAAAAATCACTTTTTTTAATAAAGTGTATAAAGTTTATTGTTATATCGTGAGCATATAATAAGTGTTATTTAATTCACCTTTCATAGCACCTTGGAGTAATGATGAGACCGATTCAGAATGATTACTCCAAAATAGCACTGAACGACACACATGAAAACGTTCTTATACGTTATTCTTATAAGAAAATGTGAGTGGCCGATCATCCACATTCAAGGATTCTAGTTTAACTTCACATATTTGGCTGACACTTATCATCACACTTTTACCTTGAGTCTGTTATACCGCACTATTTCCTAAAAAAATTCTACTTTTACATCTTTAATAAATCCATCGCATTCTAGTACAATTACTAAAAGGATTTGGCGCACAGATCAAGTCAAAGAAGAGTTATAGACAATAGATGACAAAACCAATTTTCAACTAACATTTGTTATCTTTGTAACAATATTACTGAGAATTAAACCATATATAGCTGGTTTATTAACAGAATTACCAACATGAAAAACAAGACATTTCGCATTTGTAAACAATTAACCAATGTATGTAAGTAAGGGACGAACAATTAACAACATAGAAAACGCCTATAAACTTAATGATTCTTAAAAGCCACGTGACATTGATTTCCTAGTTTTGTCCAACCTTTTCCAACACGACCACTGAATCCATGTCAGTGCCTTTGAAAGTCACATTTTATCAAGAATCTAAAATAGAAAATCGTTTCTATTATGGACTCTTGACTTCATGATAGTAGCATATAAAATACTCACTATATAGTTTTATTCGACTTTGTTAAAAATATACGAGTAATTCTATATGATATTATATATAGATATAGTAACGATATATTGTAATTCACGTATGGCTCAGTATTCATCATCACTCACCAATAAAACGTTACATTTATAGTATAAAACAAAAATGGTCTCCCTCATATTTGGAGCACGTAGTTTGGCACTCTATGTTTGAGCAAAACATCTCCATTATTATGACGATGATTAAAAGACCTAACTACTACAGCAGTCGATCTTGCTTATTTCTCAAAGCAAGTGCATATTAATTATTAATGATCACATTTTCTTTGAGCAATTTAGCGAGTTCACACATAATTACCATAAGAGTAGATACTACTAGCACTACATACAAGGACACCTATATGGTATAAAGGATCAAATGCGAGATTGTTCAACCAAGAAAAATGGCAATGACGTTACACACTGCATTCAGATCAAATCTGCAAATTTTGCAACTATCTTCAGTTCTTTGTTATTAGTATCCAAAATCCATCTGTGCCTTCGTTCCACGTTTCGTCTCCGCATCGCCACGGTTAATTATGCCACCGCATTGCCATGGTTACTTGCACTGCCCCGTTGCCATGGTTACTTCTGCCGCCACGTCGGCACGGTTACTTGCCTTGCCTCGTCGCCATGGCTACTTGCCATGCCTCGTCGCTACGGTTAATTGCCCTGCCTTGTTGCTACGGTTACTTGCCCTGCCTCGTCGCCACGGTTACTTGCCCTGCCTCGTTGCCATGGTTGCTTGCCCTGCCTCGTCGCCGCGGTTACGTTACTTGCGCTGCCTCGCGGCGACCTCTCTCAAGACCTGGCTGGCCCCGTCCGCCGCGACGCGTGTGAGTGCCTCGGCCTCGGCCGCGATGCGCGAGCGGTAGTCAGCGTCGCGTAGGTGCTGGTTGTCGAGGTTGATCGTCACGTTGTGGTAGGCGCCCCAGACGCCCGTCTCCAAGCACCGTGCTGCCACCTAGTGGAGACATAACGAAACTATTTTTAGTAAAAATTTCGCGCGTGGATTGGGGTTATCGGCGAATTGTTTCGGCCGCCGTTGACAGCTACGCAACACTGCTTAGTTATTGCTTATTACCTGATAGTTCATATCACGGCTTGTATATCATAAGTAATTCTCCACAGGCAGATATCCCATGGTCTCTATCTCAGTGATATATCTAGTCTCAGTGACATACAAGTAACAATAAGTGGGGTTTTGTTGTACGTGACATATAAGTACATATTACACTAGGGGTAAATAATTTAATGATTTTTTTCATTGTAGCAACCTTACCGAATATAAAGTAGCATTTTTTGGACAATTTGCTGCATGTACACCAAATGAAAATAAACTGAAAACAGTAAATGAAAAAGAAACATGTGAACATAGAGCTAGACAAGAGTTTTTTCGGTTATAATGTTCAACCGAATTCGGTTGACGAAATACATTCGGTCGTGTTATATGTGTCTAAGAAATTACATCAGTGAGGACTCGTGTACAAATACCTGCAGGTCAGACAGGGTCGCCGAATTTCCGATCTTCGCCATTTCTTGTAGATCCGGCCACACCTGATTACACGTTCTGGCTAGACTGAGAGGCACCTCAATAGCAGTGATGAGACCTTTCTCTAGTGCTTCTGCTCTCCTGTAAGCAAACAAATGGCAAAATTAATGACATTCACAATCAATCTTGTGCCCATTGTCAAGTAAATAACACAAACATGGTAAGATCAGCAAAGCATCATAAATTTATGTAATGTGCATAAAACAATATGGAAATAAACACAATGTGGGATTTTCGTGGTGAAAATGAACCAACGAAAATGCACACTGCTTTCAAACCCGTAAAAAAGGAGACTAAACAACACGAACAAAGTAGGTTCACTATAGTGCAAAGGATGGGATGTATCTTGTATGCAAGCAGATAGTCTAAAATAAAGGAACATTTACTTTGCAATCTAAGGCCTCGTTGTCAGAATAATTCCTCCCCTCCTCTGCTCGTCGCCTTTCTTTCCCCGCCATCTCCTCTCTCGGCTCTCTCTACCCTCCTTCTCAACAGGCTCCTGCCCTCATCACCTCCTCTCCCATCTCGCGCTCCTCCCTGCTCCCCAGTACCATGCTCATTCCGACGCCTCCCCTCCTCCTTCCCCTCCTCTCTTTCCCCCTCCTTAGCTCTGTG